CTTTGTACAAGTAGCATGATCGAATATGAAAACTCTCTGCACAAATGTCAATGAAATTGTAAGTGGAGGGTAAAGTTTTGGACTACTACTTGTTGCTTTTGTTTGGAAATTATTGGAATTCCTACATTGATATTTGTTCCATTTAATAGGATTTTGCCGAGTGATTTAAGATGTACGTGGTGGAGAGTAGAGGAGGAAGTAAAGGCATATGGCTTGCAATTTTGATGATCTTGGAGAGGCTTGGTCGGATTTAAAGATGTTCTTAATATATTATTATCTCACACAATTACAATGCAACATGACTGGGATATATATACAGTAGAATAATGATGCTATACAAGGGAAATGAGCTATACAAAGAAGATGCATAATTCAGGGAATAGCTGTGCATGAATCATGGAGTTTGTTTGGAGAAGATTTGTCTTGACTCTTGGAATTGTGGTGCCTGATTGAAGGAGTGATATTTGCACCATTACGCCCCCGCAAGATGGAATCCCCATCAAGGATTCCAATCTTGGATCTCAGCAGCTGAAATCGCGAACGAGGAAGAGACTTTGTCAATAAGTCAGCTAGTTGATCATTGGTTGAGACGTGGGAAACCTCAAGAAGACCTTTGTTGACATAGTCCCGTACAAAGTGTAGATCAATAGCAAGGTGTTTCATTCGAGAGTGATGCACGGGATTGACACTTAAATGGGTTGCACCAACAATATCACAAAGAAGTTTAGGAGGCTCTACAATATCAATGCCCCGTTCTTGAAAAAGCGATGTGAGCCAAGCAATTTCAGAAGTGGTTGTTGCAAGAGCACGATATTCTGCCTCTGTAGAGGAACGTGCGACCGCTCGTTGCTTCCGTGTACACCATGAGATAGGGTTGTTCCCGAAGAAAATAACAAATGCAGATGTGGACGTGCGATCATCGGCATTACCGGCCCAATCTGCATCAGAATAAGCAGTAAGTGCATTTCCAGCATCCTTGGAAAGTAGGAGACCATGGTGCACCGTGTGTTTGAGATACCGTAGGAGTTGCTTGATAGCATTCCAATGTTGCTCTGTTGGTCGATGCATGAATTGTGCTAAACGATTAACTGGAAAAGCAATATCTGGCCTTGTAAGTGAGAGATATTAAAGGCTTCCAATTACTCGACGGAACTCAGTACTATCGGTGGCTGGTGAGCCATCATCAAGGTGGGGATGATCAGTAGTAGCCATCGGGGTACATACTGGTTTTGCACCTTCTAAATTTGTTCTGTGCAGGAGATCTCACACATATTTTTGTTGGCTTAAGAACAATCCATTACTGACAGGTAATACCTCAACGCCCAAGAAATAGTCTAACCGGCCCAAATCTTTAATCGAAAATTTGGAACCTAAGGATTGAATTATGAACTCATTAAAGCCTGTGGAATTGCCTATCAATATAAGATCATCAACATAAACAAGAAAATAAGCCACAATATCATCATGAGTATAAATGAATAAGGAGGAATTCGATTTGGACTGATGGAATCCCAATTCTTGAAGATAGCCACTGAGGGTGGTGTACCAAGCCTTTGCCTGTTTTAGCCTATAGAGAGACTGGCGGAGTTTACAGACATAATCGGGCTTGTCAGAGTCAACGAAGCCAGTGCGTTGGACCATATAGACATCCTCATCAAGTGTGCCATGGAGAAAGGCATTATTAACATCGAATTGGTGAAGTACCCAACCATGAGAAAGGGCAATGGTGAGAACAATCCGAATAGTAGCAGGTTTGACAACGGGTGAGAAAGTTTCCTTGTAGTCAAGGCCGGGTCTTTGATAAAAACCTTTAGCCACCAATCGGGCTTTATAACGATTAATGGGTCCATCAGGATGTCGTTTAACTCGAAATACCCATTTGCATCCAATATGTTTGATGGCTGGGAAATTGGGAACAAGATTCCAAGTTCCATGTCGAACAAGAGCATTGAACTCATCGCTCATAACTTGACACCAGTGGTGATCCTTCAGAGCTTGTCCCACACATGTAGGTTCAATAGACTGTGGCATAGGATGTTTGGTGGTAGTGAACATCCGTTTCCACTTTCGGATATTATTCAAGCCTCTTGTGATCATCGGATGAGTCCGAAGAGGGGGTGGACTAGAGGAGGCAATAGGCTCTGGTAAAGCAGCTGTAATAGTAGGTGTTATGTCAGACAGATCAGCAGGTGATGGACCAGTAGGTGGACAGGACAACATGGGATCTGCTCGCGGAAAGTGAGAACTAGGCGGGCTATGTGTGTCAGATTGAGTCGTGGCTGGCAGGGCTAGCACATTTTGGACCGGGTTAGAAGATGTCTGTAGCATGGTGGGTTGTTGGTCAAGGTGAAAAGTGGACTCGGCCATGGGTTGGATAGATGGAGTAAGAGATGTGTATGGGAAAACTAATTCATCAAATGTGACATGACGTGTAATATAGATACGATTAGATGTGAGATCAAGGCATTTGTAGGCACTTTGAGAAGTAGAATATCCGATGAAGATACATGGTTTGGATTTTGGGTCAAGTTTATGATTGTTATATGGTTTAAGCCAAGGAAAACATAAACAACCAAAGGTTCGTAGTTTTAGGTAATTGGGTAAGGCACCAAAGAGGCGAGTGAAAGGTGGTTTGTGACCTTGTGTGGTGGGGAGGCGGTTGATAAGATAAACCGCAGTTTGAAATGCAACGGCCCAATATTTGGTGGGCATGTGGGCTTGGGTGAGTAGGGTTTTACCGGTCTCAACAATGTGGCGATGTCGTCGTTCAGAAAGGCCATTATGTTGTGGGGTGTGGGGGGCTGTTGTAAAGTGACCTATTCCATGGGTTCGGAGATAGGGTTTAAGTCCTGTATATTCACCACCATTGTCACTGTACAAATTTTTAACGGGTCGATCGAATTGCTTTTCAAGGAGGACACGTAGTTGGGGAAAGATTTTACCAACTTCTGATTTTTGATGAATGGGGAAAAGCCAGCAATAACGTGTGAAATGATCAATGATGGGGCTGTTGTAAAGTGACCTATTCTATGGCTTTGGAGATAGGGTTTAAGTCCTGTATATTCACCACCATTGTCACTGTACAAATTTTTAACGAGTCGACCGAATTGCTTTTCAAGGAGGACACATAGTTGGGGAAAGATTTTACCAAGTTCTGATTTTTGATGAATGTGGAAGAGCCATCAATAACGTGTGAAATGATCAATGAATATAATGTAGTATTTGTGGCCCTCATAAGATGGGACAGATGCTGGTCCCCAAACATCAGAGTAAATGTATTCAAGTGGAGCAGTTGTATGGATAGTACTAGTATGAAAAGGCAATTGATGACTTTTTTTAGTATGACAAGGATGACAAGTTTGTGACATAATTGAAGTGCTTAATGGAAGAGAATGTTGTGAAATTATTTTAGAGACTAGGCGGTGGTGAGGATGCCCCAGACGATGATGCCAAATGACACTGGAGGTTTTCTCACCAACATTGGCTACAATGGGAATGGGTGGGTCTGGTAATGTGGTAAGTAATGGGTAAATGCCCTGTTCACACCTTCCTTGAAGTAGAATGGCCCCCGTTGTCCGATCCTTCACTAAAAAATAATCAGGATGAAACTCAATTAGTACATTATTATTTTTGGTGAATTGATGTATAGAGAATGAATAGACAGATTACTAAGCTCCAAAGTAATATTATGAGAAGCTCCAGAGTCTAGCAACCATTTTGTGGACTTCCCTGTGGATCGTCCAGCACAATTAGATGAAGCGGTCTGTAGTTTTGGACAATATTTAGCAATGTGTCCAATAACATCACAATACTGGCAGGTGGGCTTACGCTGGGACTTGTGGAACCGACGAGGCTGCTGGTCAATCTGACTCGAAGAGTGAGTGTAACGAGGGCCAGCAAAACGGGCAGGCCGAACCCAATCACGGCGTACAGCAGGATTAGCAGTCACCACAAGAGATGCGGAAGAGGCCTCGAGGCGCTTGAGATAGACTTCATGACTGAGGAGTATGTCATGGAGTTCTTCAAAGGACAGGGA